AAGAACAGCTTGAGGCAAAGCATGGAGCAGCATCTGAGAAGCAGGTCAGCCAGCCGCAGGTGCCAGAGCAACAAGAGATCCCAGGCACCGCTCCCGAGCAGCAGCAAGCAGAAGCTGTAGAAACTTCACGGCAAAAGCAGCCAGAACAAGAACAGCTTGAGGCAAAGCATGGAGCAGCATCTGAGAAGCAGGTCAGCCAGCCGCAGGTGCCAGAGCAACAAGAGATCCCAGGCACCGCTCCCGAGCAACAGCAAGCAGAAGCTGATGCACCACAAGCAGATGTACCACAAGCAGACACTTCACAGCAAAAGCAACCAGAACAAGAACAGCTTGAGGCAAAGCATGGAGCAGCATCTGAGAAGCAGGTCAGCCAGCCGCAGGTGCCAGAGCAACAAGAGATCCCAGGCACCGCTCCCGAGCAACAGCAAGCAGAAGCTGATGCACCACAAGCAGATGTACCACAAGCAGACACTTCACAGCAAAAGCAACCAGAACAAGAACAGCATGAAGGCAAGGCAGCAGAAGAGGAAGGTCAGCCACAGGAAGACACAGACCCCACATACGAATGGAGGAAAGGTATTTCAAAAGAGCAAGAAGAGACGCTAGATTCACTTAGTGGTTGGGACCGACAACCTGGCTACTTCGTAATTGAAATGCCGAGAGACCTGAAACCATTGAAAGTTTACGATGAAGTTTCTTGGAAATGACACAAATGTATGTTTTTCCTCCTGTTGGATAGCTATGTTAGGAGGATAAGTTCCCAGATACAGATTGTGCTGTGCATTCTATCTAAATAATTTCGGCAGGCCTTCACATCTACGAAAACTGCGGCCGACATCGCTCTCTGCTTGATCCAGAAGCGCAACTTCGAGGTGGACATCACGCGCACCATGACGGCCGCAGAACTTCGGGAAAGAGCGCAGGTCTTCGGAGTCAAGGTCAAGTCGAGACGCAAAGCTGATTTTGTCGATGCTATCATCTTCCAGAACTGTTGGGGACCCAGCTTTTTTGATGTGCAGCTGCGAGAAATTTAATCAGAAAGTCTATGTTAAAAAAACTGGCATTGATCACTGTCACTTACAAGCACTCCTGAAGAGAGTAGAGTCCCTTGGGAGAGAGTTCTGTAAACAAGTCTATGCTGCACTGGGGTAAATGCTGGCCATGTAGGGCCAGACGATAGCTAGGTTAAACTGCCTTGACATTGGCAACTACCAGAGACTACAGCAGACAAACGTATATAGAAAATAGTTTTAAACATTTTGTTGTTCGAAAATCCACACAACAGCTCAATCTACCATTTCTGTGGCTACCTTCGGATGTGCCATAGCTTTGTTGACCATTATTTGGATTGAGAAAGATTCAAAAAGCACCATAACAGTGTTTTTCCCATTTGTGGTGAATAGTTATGTGGTACCTATCATTTTGTTTTGTCTCATACGTCTCTGCACAGTGCATAGCTATGTTAATGCCCTTTCGAAGTGTATGGGGACACAAAAAAATCTATACACATGTCATCAGCACGGCTATGTTAACAAGCTTCCGGCAGTTCTGAATCAATTTTGCTTCAATCAGGTATATTTACCATGTATATCACCTGCATCAGTTTTAATAAAAACAATGCCCCGGACACATCCAATAGCGGGCCAGTAGCCATGTTATTGTCTATTGGAGTGACAGATTCCCTTCAGGTGACAACCAATTGAAGGAAGACATCGAAAAGTCTTCGCAATATGGTGGTGGAGATCCTGGTTTCACAACTGAGCCTGTGGCAGATCCTGGTTTGAAAAATGAGCCTGTGGCAGACCCATCCGAATCGGTCGATCCTGCTCAGCCAAGTTCTTCTGGGGGTTCCCACCCAAGCAAGGAAGCAGAAAAAGGTAGCTCCAGTAAAACACCAAATCAGGAGGGAGAAAAGCAAGATGAAAATCAGGATATAACTGACATGTATGGGAAAGATGCTCTTGACATGCCTGGAAAGGGTGCGGAACAAAATGTAAGTGCACATGATCGTTTCATGCACTGTGATCTGGTTGTTCCAGCTGTTGCGCTGAACAAGTTCAAGCAGGTGGAAACTCTTCCAGACACTGCAGAGAAAAAGAGGCTTGAAAACTATGTCGGGGTTCTGGGAGAAGATGCTTGCAGGATGTACAAAAAGTCCAGGCCCCGGTTGTGTTGCCTGATGATGGGAGATTACTTCGAGGACGAAACACTCTTTTGGAAGCATGCTAGCATCCAATTGAAAAACAACCCTGTTGGCGGAATCTTCACCTTTGATACCTTCGCTGGAGACATATCTCAGGCCTGGTACTGCCAAACCATGTTGTATCAGAGGGGCTTTTAACATAGCTATGGACACTGGACCAAGGAATACCTAAAGAAACAATTATATATATATATATTTATGTATACAATATACACATTATATATATATATATATGATTTGTTCTCCATAGCTATTTTAAATTACCCCAGGGCAGCTTCATAGCATTTGGTTGTAATTGCAAAGAAGGCATGTGTTTGATCACAAATATAGCCAAAAAGCTAATCAATTAAGGATGACCGTAGCCATGTTAAAGTACCACTAGGCATATGCAACTATGATGACAGCTTTACAAGAATCCTGCTGGGATACAAGCCACCCAACCATAGACTGATGGCTATGTTAATGGTGTTTTTCCCAAGTTTTTTCCCCGTGGGGAGGTTGTGGCAAAGATTCCGAACAACCTTGACCCTTCACGTGGGTCGCATCCAAAGACGGGGATCTACGTTTTTATCCTTCCCACATCCAGACCTCCGAGCAACAACAAAGTCCACGACCGCCCTGACTTTGAGAACATCACCATCGTGTTCCATGAGTTTCAAAAAAATGATCAGGTGGATGCCAAACCTGATTCTGTGTTCATCGTGCCAAATGGCAAGTTGGGATCTTTGCCACTGGGGCTCTTGCACTCAGAAGACTACCAGAAAAAGGTTGATCAGCACGAAGCAGGTGAGAAACACAAGGCCGTCGTGGAAGCCAAGTTGAGCAACAAGAGGAGAGGTTTGAATTGCGTTATTCTGGGGGCCTCAACCATTATCTCAGTATACTAACATTTACCCTACCACAGGTCCACGGCGCATAGCTATGTTAAGGATTTTCTGGGTACGGGTAAGACATGCAACGTATGCAGTCAGCCCAAGCCAAGTTGAGCAACAAGAGGAGAGGTTTGAATTCCGTTATTCTGGGGGCCTGAACCATTATCTCAGTATACTAACATTTACCCTACCACAGGTCCACGGCGCATAGCTATGTTAAGGCTTTTCGGGGTACGGGTAAGAGATGCAACGTATGCAGTCGGCCCAGCTCCATGTTTAGGTTAAGAACAGTTCTTATTGTATCTCTTGTCTGTCAAAATGCTCCAAGCCTTTCAGGACCTTGTTGCAGAGGCAGGTGGACACGCATGCGAGGAAGAAAGCAAGGTTGGAGGGCATGACAAGCAAACTTGAGGGACAAGTGTCTGGATTGACTCAAGACTTGGAAAGCACCAAAGAGGCAGTCGAGCTCTGGAAAACAATCCTTTCTTACATCATAGATGTTGCAACACATGGCAGCAAAAAAGACCCAGCCATGTCTTGGCCAGACTATTTCATGACTGCTTTCCCAGCCGATGCTTCCCAAGTTGGGCGACATTCCCGAGGTTTTCCAGGACAACATGCTCAGTTTTCCAGATTGCCTTGAGGCTGTGACAGAGAAGCTGGCGCAACTCAGACAGCATTTGAAAGCAACTGAAGAGAATTTGGAGAAACAGAGTGCCTCTCTTGATCAACTTGCCGGAAAAGCAAAAAAGAAGGAAGAAGACGAGAAGCAAAGACTTGAGAAATTCAGCAATCAGGATCCTGCGAAAATCAAGACGCTTGACTGCTCTAGGATGGCTGGAGGGTCCATCTTTTGGATCATACATGCACATCAATATAAATATGGTAATTCAGCGCTATATTAAATGTTTATTTTCCATTGCAGATCCACCAGCTGATGGTTAGCTGTTCACGTGTGCATTCTCGGCTGGGCCATGTCTATGTTAAATGCGGTTGTCCCCAAGCTATCTTTGTCAGGAAGCGAAGAAGACAAAACTATCACAGCAAGGTGGCTCTGAAAGGAAAGCTGAGGAGAGGCAGGAAGGACGAAGAGTGGGATGAGAAACCTGCAAAGGCCCGTAGGCAGATCTGGATTGAAGACAAACTCAAAGCGGTGCGGCTGTACAATGAATTGAAAAAAAACCGGGACGAGGCAGCAGCAGTAGCACGTGAAAGGATTCCTAGAAATCTCACGAATGAAGAAAGGGAGGCTTTTTTGGAGCACAGAGCCAAAGCCAAAGACATCTTGAAAAGGAATCTGCAGAAAGAAGTTGAAAGGCAATTACCAAACATTGTTCGCACGTGTCATGTACACAAATGGGCAAAGCAAGCCGAAGACGAAAAATGGGAGTTGTTGCCTGCCTCAGATCGCAGCCGCCTCGTCGAAGTGCCGAAAGCATGGCGTCAGAAGTTTGCGCTTCCAGCCAAAGGGAGGCCTGTGGGAGGTTTCGTGCCTGAGGAACTACAAAAAGATCTCGACCGAATCATCGCAGAGCACGTGCTAGGCCAATCGGAGGTGACTGAACGAAAAGAAGTAGTGACTTGGAGAGACATCGACCCTCGGATTTAACAGGATGGAGCACCTTTGGTTGGGGGTGCGGGTTTGAAGGACATGCGATCTGCCACTGTGGCCACGTTTTAGGTTTATTTATTCGTATACATGTCATCGGGTGGAAGTCCAAGTAGCTAGTATCCTCAGGAGGACTCCATAGCTATGTTAAAGGGTTTTTGCAACACCATACGGCTGAACCATCAACACCAGTGCATCCAAGTGAAAACTCTTTTACTCCAAGGAGACATCGGCAAACATTCTGATCGAGAATTGGAACAACGCTTTGCCAGAGACAAAGCCACTGATCGATGCGCAAAATGCGCAGTTCAGGGAAATGTTTGCCAAGGGCCAGCTTTCAATCTCAGGTCTTTCAAAGGTCCTTTTGCCCTCTCCAGAGCCTCTTAATTATGTCACAGTGCCATGGTGCAAGCATTTCATCAAGAGTTGGGGTTGGAGCTTGTTGTCTGCTTCCTCAGAGCAGGCAAGTTTACCTTTCAATCACCCAGACATGAAAATGTACCGGGAGCACTACCAAGATTTGTTGAAAGATGGCGTACACCCGTACATGGTACTAAATTTTGATCAGCTGTGGAGATGTGCTTTCAGTTGGGATGGCAAGATGCAGTGGAAAGAAAGAGGTTCCATAGGAAAGCGAGGAAGGAAGAGACGCGCACCGCGTCAACTTGACAAGAAGAGGCATGCGGTACGCGGTGCTCGCAAGAGCATAACGGTGGCTAGGTTTAAGGGGAACCAGTTCTGGTATTTAACCTTAACGTAGCCGTGGACTTGTTAATAAAAAGTATGGAAAAGGTATTACCCACCCGCATGTCCATAGCTATGTTAAAAGACCAGGGTGCATTTAGTGCATTACCAACTTACTGTATCTTATATGTCTGTATCTATCTGGGTCCTTTCTCTTCATAATATATGTATACATTATTCTTCAGTACATTGAAGGTAATTATTCCCTTTATTGGTTTCTGAAGCCTATTATGTAAAAGACACAGTTTCATAATACCAGGCACTTGCTCAGTAGCTACGTTAGGCGCCCTCCAGACTTACCAAGGCCTTAACCTCGTCCTGGAGCGATGGATCAAGAGGGCCGGTATGCTTTTGCATTCCAGAATCGGCTCTGAGCAGTGAACAGATTCGGCAGTGGAATAGCCAACACGTTGGCATTTCCTACATTGTCACGAGTGGGACAAAGAGCCATTTTATGTCATCAATTTCCATGTTAGAGGTCCTCGAGCAGTGTTACAGCGCTGCGGTGGACATGCAGCGTAAGAAGTCTTTTGGCCGCATATACCGATAGGTCAAAGACGTGCATTAATGTTCTGTAGACTGGGTGGAATACATCTTTCCTTTCTGTACGCAAATGCCCTGTCCATGGACATGTTAGCGTGCAAAGTATATTCAACCCCAAAGTAACTGAATTTTTACGATATATGGACTTGGTATATGGCTCTGACACATCAAACCTTTCCTTCAGCCTTCCGGTGTGACTAGGTGGAAGCTGTCACCGGAGATTCGTGGAGCTGTCATATGCGACGCGTGGACGGGCTCTTTCGCACAGTCCAAAGGAGATGGGACCAGGAGGTGGGGTTCTTAACTTTGCTTCCCCCGCAATAGTTCACTTTTCTTGGTTCCAATCCTCCATTGACATGTTTAATGGGTACATAACCTACATTTGGGGACTGCTGCCACGGCTACGTTTACGTACCAAAAGGGTCCATTCACTGCCAGGTCCAACTGGTTCCGTCTCCACAACATGGCCGAACCGGTCAAGCCGGTCGGAGGCTGGTCAGGCCATGGCCAGCCGGTCGACCAATTACATGCCCAGTACCGGCAAAAAATAAGGCTTCTGGGATTGAAAAAGATCAAAATGGGAGAGAATCTCTTCGAACGCCCAGCCTACGAAGACCTACCATTGCGTCCATCAGGACTGGTATGTTTTGCCATAGTTTTACGTTCAAGTGTAAAAAGGTCATTCACACAACTATGAGCATCTTCCAATGTCCCTGTACAAGTTGTTTGTCACATATCTACCATAGTCTAGCTTGCAGGACAAGTGGAGATCCTGGCCCCCAACTGGATCAGCATCGTGGAGCTCAGTTTCGAAGGTTGGTGTCAACTTGATCGGAAAATTTTCCAAAGTGCTTGGATAGCATGTGGATACATGGAATGGAAAGACATGCCCCATGGGACTCAAGATCCTCCTATCACCATGGAGGATGCAAGGCAAGTCCTCGATGTGTTTGGAAAACTGGGCACCGGAACCCCTCAATGGTGCACAGTCTATGAGTGGCAAATCCAGGACAGATTGGAAATAATGATTGGGTTATTTTGGTTATTTGTTTGTATTTCCACAGACGAGCAACTCCACCAATAATAGCGCAGTGACCATGTTAAGGGGATTGCTGGCCCTACAATGTCATTTCAAATTCACTTACTTGAATCTTTTGGGTGTTTGAAAAGGTAACAGGATGTTCTTCAAATATTCTTCAAATGAGAAAGAGTGTTCCGGGGACCTCAACCAATAGTCGCGCAGTGGCTATGTTTAGGGGGTTTTGGAGCTGCAATGTCATACCCAAAATCACTTAACTAAATCTATTGGATATTTGAAAAGGGTAAAGGATGTTCCTCATAAATGAAAAGCAAATCCTTCCGGGAACACCAATATCAGCGCAGTGGCTATGTTAAGGGGATAGCTGGCTCTACCATGTTGTTTATTCACCTGCTTGAATATATTTTGTGTTTACTTCATATGAGAAACAAATGTTCCGGGCAACTCCACCAATAGTAGCGCAGTGGCTATGTTAAGGGGTTTTTGGCCTTACAATGTCATTCCAAATCCACTTACTTGAATCTTTTGGATGTTTGAAAAGGTAAAAGGATGTTCTTCAAATATTCTTCAAATGAGAAAGAATGTTCCGGGGACCTCAACCAATAGTAGCGCAGTGGCTATGTTTAGGGCGTTTTGGACTTGCAACGTCATATCCAAAATCACTTAACTAAATCTATTGGATGTTTATAAAGGGGAGAAATAGAGCAGTGGCTATGTTGAGGGGATTGCTGGCTCTACCATGTTGTTCCAATTTCACTTCCTTACTTGAATCTTTTGGGTTTTTGAAAAGGTAACAGGATCTTCTTCAAATGAGAAAGAATGTTCCGGGGACCTCAACCAATAGTAGCGCAGTGGCTATGTTTAGGGGGTTTTGGAGCTGCAATGTCACAAAATCACTTAACTAAATCTATTGGATATTTGAAAAGGGTAAAGGATGTTCCTCATAAATGAAAAGCGAATCCTTCCGGGAACACCAATATCAGCGCAGTGGCTATGTTAAGGGGATAGCTGGCTCTACCATGTTTTTTATTCACTTGCTTGAATCTATTGTGTATTTACTTCATATGAGAAACACATGTTCCGGGCAACTCCACCAATAATAGCGCAGTGACCATGTTAAGGGGATTGCTGGCCCTACAATGTCATTTCAAATTCACTTACTTGAATCTTTTGGGTGTTTGAAAAGGTAACAGGATGTTCTTCAAATATTCTTCAAATGAGAGAGAGTGTTCCGGGGACCTCAACCAATAGTCGCGCAGTGGCTATGTTTAGGGGGTTTTGGAGCTGCAATGTCATACCCAAAATCACTTAACTAAATCTATTGGATATTTGAAAAGGGTAAAGGATGTTCCTCATAAATGAAAAGCAAATCCTTCCGGGAACACCAATATCAGCGCAGTGGCTATGTTAAGGGGATAGCTGGCTCTACCATGTTGTTTATTCACCTGCTTGAATATATTTTGTGTTTACTTCATATGAGAAACAAATGTTCCGGGCAACTCCACCAATAGTAGCGCAGTGGCTATGTTAAGGGGTTTTTGGCCTTACAATGTCATTCCAAATCCACTTACTTGAATCTTTTGGATGTTTGAAAAGGTAAAAGGATGTTCTTCAAATATTCTTCAAATGAGAAAGAATGTTCCGGGGACCTCAACCAATAGTAGCGCAGTGGCTATGTTTAGGGCGTTTTGGACTTGCAACGTCATATCCAAAATCACTTAACTAAATCTATTGGATGTTTATAAAGGGGAGAAATAGAGCAGTGGCTATGTTGAGGGGATTGCTGGCTCTACCATGTTGTTCCAATTTCACTTACTTACTTGAATCTTTTGGGTTTTTGAAAAGGTAACAGGATCTTCTTCAAATGAGAAAGAATGTTCCGGGGACCTCAACCAATAGTAGCGCAGTGGCTATGTTTAGGGGGTTTTGGAGCTGCAATGTCACAAAATCACTTAACTAAATCTATTGGATATTTGAAAAGGGTAAAGGATGTTCCTCATAAATGAAAAGCAAATCCTTCCGGGAACACCAATATCAGCGCAGTGGCTATGTTAAGGGGATTGCTGGCTCTACCATGTTTTTTATTCACTTGCTTGAATCTATTGGGTATTTACTTCATATGAGAAACACATGTTCCGGGCAACTCCACCAATAATAGCGCAGTGACCATGTTAAGGGGTTTTTGGCCTTACAATGTCATTCCAAATTCACTTACTTGAATCTTTTGGATGTTTGAAAAGGTAACAGGATGTTCTTCAAATATTCTTCAAATGAGAAAGAGTGTTCCGGGGACCTCAACCAATAGTCGCGCAGTGGCTATGTTTAGGGGGTTTTGGAGCTGCAATGTCATACCCAAAATCACTTATCTAAATCTTTTGGATGTTTAATAAGGGTAAAGGATGTTCCTGGTAAATGAAAAGCAAATCCTTCTGGGAACACCAATATCCGCGCAGTGGCTATGTTAAGGGGATTGCTGGCTCTATACCATGTTATTGCCAAATTCACCTACTTGAATCTATTCGGTGTTTGCTTCAAATGAGAAACAAATGTTCTGGGCACCTCCACAAGTAGTAGCCCAGTGGCTATGTTAAGGGGATTTTTGGCCCTACAATGTCATATCCAAATCCACTTACCCGAATCTAGTGGATGTTTTGTTGGTTATGGAATTCTTGAAGAGGAAAAAAGGATGTTCTTCAAATGAAAAAACACAGCATAGAGGCTATGTTAATTGGATTTGGATGGTTGGGACTTCCAGTAGCACAACAAAACACATCACCAAGCCAGGGTCAGCTAGCAGGATAATGCGGGAAGTTGGAAAGCCTTGCCCTACGAAGCCGCAGGGGCGGTGGTGCGATCCTTGATGCAACACTGCCACACGCTTGGGAATCTCAGTTCTTCCCTTGCAAAGGCTCTTGAAGAGGACCCAGCAGTAGAGAAGCAATCCAGCAAAAGTCTGTCCCAAAAACTGAGAGCGTTAGAGGATGTTGAAAGGTATATTGTGTTCAACCCCAGAACCGGTCAAATGGCCACCGCGGCATGGATTGAAAAGCACATTCTGGTGCAGCATGGTGTTCCAACATTCAAGAAAGCGTCAAAACAAAACCAAACTCCCAAAATCCTGACACTTGGAATCAAGATCAAGGACAAGTCAGTGAAGTTGACCCTCGATCTAGGTTTTGATGAGAAGAACCCGAGGCCTGTGAGGTGTTTACATTTGGCCTCACGTAAAGCTCAGAGCGACCTAACTGAGCTTGAGCAAGGTTATGGTCACATGGGGCAACCTTGGGACGAAGATGACCAAGACTTGGATGAAGTCGACTTCCCAGATGACAGCAGTGACAATAGGAAGGATGAGAATGATTTCGAGGACGAAATCCCCGATGATGCTGCTGGTATTGAAGGCCATCGACTTCATACACATTTCCTTCCCCTCATACCCTAACATGGCTATTGGCACGGCCCCAATGTTTAACAAACTACGATATATTCCGCACATTGTGCTGTTCCATAGCTTTGTTAAATGAACACGGATGCAACAAATGGTTATTCGTCCACATCAACAAAGATATGAAAGTACCACCATGGTCTAGTATCTTTTAACTGGGGATACAACTGAGTCTCCATGGCTACGTTAATGGTTTCAACATATGTTGTTTCAGCCTTTGTGTTTCTTTGGCGCCCATTCTTCAGGCGATGAGCCTGATCAAAATGATCCAGCTCCAGCCGGCATGGAGGAGAACCAGGATCTTGAAGCTGCTCTGGAGGAATTTGCAGGTCAGGCGTTTCATTGAGGAAATAAACATGGACATACCCTCTGGTAAATTAACATAGCTATGGAGAATCACAATTTTCAATGGGTAAATCCACTATCAATGTGCCATTCTCAATAGCTATGTCTATGTTAAGTTACCAGACGGTACTGAGTTTGTTTAGTTTGTTTACAACTAGCTTCACTGCGGTTTATGGTGAGTATAAACTTAGTTAGTGGGGTAGTAGTAAGATTGACAACTAAATCTGGCAGCTCCGTTTGTGCTGTCCAGTTGTGGTCACTGTTACAGCCCCGGGGCCTATCCGAAGACATAGGCATTAATCAAGTAACATATTAGAATTGCATGTGTTGAGGGAACCATTGAAATTGTTCTGTTGCTTCGCATAACCAAGTCACCAGGATGTTCCCAGTGGTCATGTATAATCGGGTTTCCAAACAATTTCCCCCATAAATCGATCTGATGAAATTATATATACACAGTTTCTGACATATGAAACTATTAACGAATTGTATGATGTTTTTATAGTTTTCTTCCCAGATATTTCCACAGGAATGCTTCAATTTTGTTCGCCATCGACCCTTCAAACAATTGATATATCCATTGTTTTTGCATCAGGTAGTTTAACACAGACCCAAGACATACCAAATACACACACACATACATTATATATATATATATATGGAGAGTGGCCAGGGTTAATAGCTACGTTAAAGAGCTTGATACCAACAATGTCAATACCCTCCACAAAGATCTGCTAACATAGACCTTGTGGCCACTGGCAGGCCACGATTTTGAGAACATCGACCACCTGAATGATGAAATTGCTTGGGCCTACAGTGATGATGAGGCGGTAGACCTTGAGGAACCAGACATAGCTGACCGGATGATGAAAGTTCTCTTGCCCGAATCGGTACCAGAAAGGCCGAAGTCATTTCAGACTCGTCCTGTGTTTATGGCTTTGGAGGCCGAAGGCCTGACCATTCTGCCTGCAATTGCAGGCGTGTTCATTTCGTGCCATCCGGCTTCGAGCCAGTGGCATGGAGCTTACCCCCGAGAAGGTGGTGTAAAGCACACTCACCGTGCACCGAAATGGTCACCCAATCTTCGCTCTGAGCGCGAAGCGCTTCTCACAGCGATCCGATATGTTTGGCATATCCACTTTTTGAAGACTGGCGAGGGAAAATCTCACTTAGCCAAAATCGATGAAGCTCTGAAGAAGTGATAGGCGAAATCATTGCAAGGGCAATGTGCAAGCTTGTCACGCGCGCAGACCGAGACAGCTTTGGGAAGCTGTGAAAAAGGAAAACAAACCTAGCGGTTGGATGACCTGTGCGCGGCCATGTTTTTTTCATTGTTGGCATTTTCGACGTTGCGAAACAGTGATCTGCATGTCTACGTTTAATTTCCAAAATCCAGAGAATCAAACGAAAAACACAACCAGATTTTGCAACATCTCTTTTCACACCAGAATGCAGCTTTAACATAGCCATGGAGAAATGCACAAATTTTACCTCTCTACGTCTACGTTAAGGAAAAAATGCGTTTACAGCGTTGTTTTGCAAATTAAACGTGGCCATCAGGATGCATGTGTACTAATACGTTTGTTGATGTTTTTTTGGCCACCACGTCTACGTTAAATAGTACCAGAGTAATCGCAAATCATTTCCTGAAGATTATGCACCCCCAAAACAATCCAATTGGACCTTACCTGGATTTATTGTTTTATAAGATGATGTTACACAACAAAATATATTTTAATTTTGTTGAACGAAATTCAAAGTAGAACGTATCAATGGATAATCACACACCTGTAAAGTGAAAACCACGGGATGGCAAAAACTTTGAATTGCCACAGTGCCACATATCTGAACTTCATTTCGCACAAAGGCTGTGAAGGCGAGCGCCCCACTATAAAATTGGAACCCGAAATCCGAAGGCAATTTTTAGGCCTGCAAAATGGCACCCCCAAGGCGCACCAAACTATAGAGTTTTCATATGACCTGGGCGTCCCAATTTTGTATTGTTGTTGGGTTTGATGATAATCCCTTCCTGCTAATACTAAACGCCCCCCCTATTACTAAACACGGCAGATAGTTTTTAGTATTAGGGGGATATTTAGTATTAGGGTACCAATTAAAACTCTTTAATAATAAAAACAATTTTTTCCGATCTCAAAATCAATTACATTTCTTTATATAACGCAAGTAAAATATTGCCAAAAATTGGATTTCGAAGCTTCCCCCTAATATTAAATTAAAACTCTTAATAATAAAGAACTATTTTTTCCGATCTCAAAATCAATTAAATTTCTTTTATATAACGCAATTACAATATTGCCAAAAATATCAACCTTCAAATTTCAGCTACGAAATGGGGAGGACTTGGGCTACAGTACAGATTGCCAGCCAGGATTTTTTTGTACAAACAGGAGGTTGTGCCCCCCATTTTGTATTTGGAATCATTTTGTAGTTGATTCCTTTCAAATCATCATTTTCATTTTGTAGTTGTATATGTTGAGTTAGTTGAAGCATCCAACATAAAATTTCATTAGCATTGTGTAGTTGTACAAGTTGAATAGTTGAAGCATCCAACATAAAATCTCATTAACATTTTGCATTTGAAGAGGTGAGAAGAGGTGGAAAAAAGGAAACAGTGCGTGACATGTACATGGACACAAACAGATCATGAAGCTACAGAATGCCATCTAACAAACTGCACGGGGTCAACACTTGATCCAACTAAATTCAATCATTGACAACTACAAAATGTTCTCCGAATTTATGTTGGTCGGAACTTTGGATGGCAAAGACCCAACTACAAAATGTCATTGGGAAAAAACATGTTAGCAATTCCGACGTTCAGTTATTTTTTAACTTCAGACGCATTGGATTTTGTAGTACTGGTTTTGAATTATTTTCCGAACCAGAAAGAGTTATGTTCTTCATTTTGTAGCTGCAAAAAATAAACAGCACGCACTGCATTTTGTAGTTGTGCACCTCATGCATTCCGCCTTGTATCTACCAAAACCATCTGCACAACTCCTCCCCCCTTGTCTGAACCCCGATCCAAAAATTGGATTTCGAAGCTTCCCCCTAATATTAAATTAAAACCCTTAATAACAAAAACAATCTTTTCCGATCTCAAAATCAATTAGATTTCCTTTATATAACGCAATTAAAATATTGCCAAAAAATTGGATTTGGAAGCTTCCTCCTAATATTAAATTAAAACTCTCACTAATTGAAACTATATTTCCGACCTCAGAAAATCAATTAAATTTCTTTATATAACGCAATTAAAATATTGCCAAAAATTGGATTTCGAAGCTTCCCCCTAATATTACATTAAAACTCTTAAGGATAAAAACTATTTTTTCCGATCTCAAAATCAATTTCATTTCTTTTTATAACGCAAGTAAAATATTACCAAAAATTGGATTTCGAAGCTTCCCCCTAATATTAAATTAAAACTCTCAATAATAAAAATTATTTTTCCGATCTCAAAATCAATTAGGTTTCTTTTATATAACGGAATTAAAATATTGCCAAAAATTGGATTTCGAAACTTCTTTCTAATAATAAGCACCCCGGGGTTGACTAGTTTTTAGTATTAGGGGGGGAACTTACAAATGGTAGGTTTATCTTTATTTTTAAGGTGATCAATTAAAAAGTCAAATTTGCCAATCTGAAATTTTCAAAAATTGGAGATGGACACTAGTTTTTAGTATTTGGGCGGGGTTTAGTATCAGGAGGAAGAGATTATTGACGGGTTACTCGCAGGTTTTTATTTTATAGAGCTGATTATGTATGTATGTGCTAGGGTTTTCAATTTTTATACATAGCCAGTTTGGTGCATTTCCATAGTATACACTGAGCTCCCTATAAAATTGCGACGCCCAGGTCCTCAAGGTGAATTGGCAAAGGGATGTTTTTTTATCCTTCGGATAAATGAAAAATAATAAATGTGCTAATCCGTTCCTCCTAATACTAAACGTCCCCCAAATACCAAAAACAGGCGTTCATCTCCAGTTTCCAGAAAATTTCAGATTCGTCAATTTGACTTTTAATTGACCCCATTTAGACAACAATTTAAAAATAAAGCTACCAATTGTGGTTTTTGCTCCCCTAATACTAAAAACTAGTTAACTCCGGGATGTTTATTCCCGCTTCGAAATCCAATTTTTGACAATATTTTCAGCGTGTTATTGTCATTCATTTTGAAATCGAACAATTTTGTTTTTAATTAAAATTTTTCATTTTATTAATAGGATCCACTTCGAAATCGAATTTTTGGCAATTTTTTAATCGCGTTATAAAAGGAAAATTAATTGCTTTTGAAATCGAGCAATCTTTTTTTTTTAAATAAATTTATTAATAGGGTCCGCTTCGAAATCCGATTTCTGGCAAAATTTTTATAATCGCGTTATATAAGGAATTTTCATTGATTTTGAAATCGAACATTTTTTTTTGGTTTTAATTTTGTTAATAGGGTCCGCTTCGAAACCCAATTTTGGGCAAGATTTTCATCGCGGTATATTAAAAATTAATTGATTTTGGAAAGCGTTTTTTTTAATTAAGGGTTTAAATCTATTAATAGGGTTCCCTAATAATAAATCACCCCCGCAATACTTAAACTACCTGCCGTGTTTAGTAATAGGGGGGGAGACGTTTAG